TATATATATATATATATATATACATTTGTTAGAATAAACTATAACATAAGTTATTCATTTATTTATTATTTACACATAAAAGTTTTTAAACGTTTCATAATTATAAATTAAACTCCTATTTATATGACGTTAGTACTAACCCATTCTAATAGAACTTCAATCCATACTTTCATGATTTGGAAAGAATGATCACTTATTTATGCGTGCGAAAATAATAGTTAAAATTTATATGGTCTTCCGACATATACTCTTAACTTTTAACGTTCCATCGAAGGTACGTTTAATTTCAAATATTCACTACTTGCTTCATCTCGCAGGTAAATCTATCTAACTATGTTATTATAAAAATGTCCCTATTTTTACTCAAAATCCCCAGATATTTATAGAACCATACCCAGTTTTCAATAAACAATTCAGAGTTTATAAAAATTGGGAGTGTACAAAATGTTTAGACAATGTGTTTAGTTATTCTTAATTTTAATTTTTCGTATTTGTGAATATACATGTATATACAAAATAAATTTGTTTTTGAAATACATTGCATAAAAATGCATAAAAATGATTGTATATATTATATCACCTTATTAAAATATAGTCAATATGTGTTATAAACTTGTTTATAATTGGAAGGTACGAATTATAATATAATCGTTTGTTAATAGTGATCATTTATTTTTTTGCTGTTAGTGTGACAAATAATTTTATAATATTTTTTTATAAATAAATTATTAACATAAATAAAATTAATCAAAAAATCATAAAGTATGTATAGATGACTATAATCTGCAACAAAATCTTCACATTTATTACAGAATAATATTTTGTCTAAAATAATTAAATATAACGATAAAAATCTAATACTATAATTATTGAATGATTTTTTATATTTGCATATTTGTCTCTCTTATCTTTTTCTTATCTTTTTTATCTTATTTAAATTATTACTTAATGACTGTTCTATAATTCTTTTCATCAAATCATTACTTAATATGTGTATTTTCTTATAATTCTTTTTTGATTAATAAGAAAAAGAAATATATTCTGTGTGTGTAATTAATATATATGTATAAAATAAATTTATAAATTTCTTGTTTTTAGTGGCATGACTAATTTGATATTTGGAGTTGGTATAGGATTGTTTCTTATTTTAATTCTATGGGCTTTGGCCCTACTAGTATTTATCATTTCTTTAAGAATTGAAAAGAAAATTGGCACTGTTGCTATAATTATAGTTAGTATATGCACAATTGTTTTAATTACATTGCCCAGGGCATCAGAGAAATCTAATATCATTGATAAGAAGGTAAATAATTATTTTATTTTGGAACTTTAATATATATATAGTATTTGTATGAGTGTTTATAAAATAATTAATGTTTATATTGTTACAGATATATGATCATTTATTCATTTGGCGTATTTTATTACTGGTATTATTAATAATATCATCTATAATTGGTTTAGTGGGATATATGAAGTTTGGGATAGCAGAATCTATCAGACCAATTCGAATAACTAATTGGGTTTTTTAAAAACTTATGGTAAGTATTATTGCTTTATTACAATTGTTATGATAATGATATATTAAGCCAAAAGAAATTTAAAAGTATTATTAATTTTTAATTTTTACAAATTTTCAGAATTTGCTACTAAACCAGTAGTATTTCTTACTAATTATGTAAAATAATTTTAGGAAAAGACTGGCCTATTGACTTTAGCCTAATTTTGTATGTTTGTTTACTTTGTAATATAACAGTAAAATTATAAAATGTTACGTAGTACTACCAAATTCTCATCAGTTCTGGTGAGATCTGTTTTTTCATCATGCCAGAAGAAAAAACAATTTGAAATAAATAACAATAGTGAATTTGTTAGTAAGGTAATGAACAGCTCAGTACCAGTTATTGTGAACTTTCATGCTGAATGGTGTGATCCTTGTAAAATATTAACGCCTAAATTAATTGAACTCATAGGACCAATGGATAAACTAGATCTTGCTATTGTAAATTTAGAATCAAATCCAGAATTAGTACATATTTTTGAAGTAAAAGCCGTACCAGCTATTATAGCAATTTCAAGCGGATTAGTAGTTGATAAATTTGTAGGTTTAACTGATTTAGATATCATAGAAAATTTAATACAAAAACTTACTAATGCACCTGTAAATTCTGAAAATGATAAAGAAAAAATTTAACATGCATTTTGACGTATTATATAAAATTATTAAAATCAATAACCAAATGTATTTTTATAGTTTGGATTCTATTTCAGTGTAATATTTTTAGTTGTTATTATATATCATAAATGTAAATTATAAAATTAATTGAAAATGTATATGATAAATTACATTAAATTGTACTGAATAATGTAATCGTCTTTAAATTTAATTTAAGAAAAGTTCTAAAACTTTCAAAAGATTCCGAATTGGAATTATAACGCTATAAATAATAAATACCAGGACAAAAATATGAAATTGTAATTTCAAAAAAGATAACATTTTTATTTGTTATTTATAATTTTTATAATATCTTGTTAATTATTTTACAAA